GTCTTCAGTCAGGTGTTGCTAGGAAACTGAGCCTCTCTTATGTCAAGCCGCCATATTGAAAAAGTGCTCTTTCCAAAGTGCATTATTTTGCCACAGAATTTATCATTTGAACCATGCCAGCGGCCGTTTTAAAGGGAGAAAAGGTTGTAAAAGAAGAGGATAACTATCCAAGGTAGTCACAGGAAGGCGATAACACTTATCAGGCGATTTCGATTCGATAAATATGTATAAGTTTGACGCATAATTTGCCATTTCTTACGTACAAAATAGGATTACGAAGAAAGTGCTAATTCAACTTTGCAAAGATCACAAATTGTACAGAACACCATATCTTAATGATGTTCTTTACCTTCATTATAAAGGTACGTAATTCGAGATAAAAGTCCGTTACATATGCTTCTTTGCAGTTACTGGGAGCATTTGATTTAGATAAGACTAGCATGGGTAAGGTTTAAGCAAGGGGTAATTTGTTATTAATTTTATATCATTAACTTGAAAAACCGATGTCCGTTTCATCCAGCGAAAGCTTAGAGCTGTTAAACTTTTTTTGGTTTGTTTTTTCTTGTGGCTAAATACTCGGCAGACATAATTTTTCAAAGAATGTCCTCCGAAAGGTGCTCTCAAACATCTTACGCTAAGATGTTTGTTCAGTAATGTCAAGCGACTCTGACGATAATTTTGGCGTTTAGTGGAGGAATTTTTCGACCTTGTGCAAGCTGCAAAACGTTTGTGCCCGTGGTCTCAGATAGGCTTAGTGCCCAATTCAGTCAGAAACAATTTAACTGAATTCCCACAGAAAGCCCCATTCAAATCTTTAGAATGAGATTGTTTGATGCTTTTTGAAAAATGCCAAGCAGTTCTAAATATTACGATGGTTTTTATCAAATAAATTTTCCAAGCTTCTGCATACCATAATGCGTGTAAGTGGTTATGTTACACTTTGACAGCATGCCAACAATCAAGTAATACTGCACTATTACCTTTAAGTTCCTGTACCATGTAATTTGAGGTTAATAACGATTACAGGGTTTGCAAAGATAGAAAACCTTGAGGAGTACACAGGCTTAAAATGCTTATGGTTGGAATGTAATGGAATTCACAAGATTGAAAATCTGGACAATCAGAAAGAGTTGCGATGCCTGTGAGTACTGTTTTATCTTTTTCTGTCAAAATCTAAAAGATGCCAGTACAAACTACACAAAGCAAGGGCTAGCTGTTGGGGTGTTCTCATAGAAACTCTCTCAGTGGCTTGTTGGACTTCAAACATATAATTGGGCAATCAGTTTCAGTAAACCAGGCCTTATATGTGTTTAAGGGGTAATTTTATAAAGAAACTGTGGTTCTAGGTTGGCAGGGGTATTATAAGATAATTTGGTTTTATCAATTATAGTTGACGATGTGAATTGGCCATGGTATAGAGTGTTAACCTATAGCTGACATTTGAATTGTTAGCCCTTCATCAAAGTGAGGGCAAACACTCAGCATTTGGGGTAAAGCTTGAAATATCAGTGTTAGTAACTTTGTACAGTTGCCACTTTACATTATCAATTGGGTTGAAACCTTATTATTATATGTGCAAAACATGCACCCCTTACTATCAAGTATATTTTTTATTTCATCACTTTAGATTATTTGCAGAGTTTTACCTTAGAAAGCTTTTCCTCACAGCTTTAAATATTATCATCCAAGGATCTTGGGTAGTTTTCTCCAGCCTATATACAAACTTTATTAGGATCCTATGATATTTAAAAGTTTTTTGTGGTTTTACATTGAGTATGCATCCATGCACATTCACAGTGAACCTTATGATATGCCAGATTTATGTATAATTAGCAGCATTTTTACTTTGATTTAGTTACCTGCAGCAGAATCTCATATCAAAGATAGAGAATGTGGAACATCTACAACAGCTGGATACCCTTAATGTCAGTAATAACACCATTTCCAAAATTGAAAACATTGGTAAGTTTGTTCTTGTTCCATTGTTTATTAAAATAAATAAAGTTGACCTCATCCTGTATGTGTATATATGTACACTCACTGTACAACTTAAGTTAAATTTTTGTCTTTCATGGATTATTGTTTGATGACCACACCCCTTAATCAATTGCACCTATAAAATTATTATTTTCCCAATAACTAAAATATTCTCTTTTGCTGATGATTTGCTCCACATTGTTTTGTACAAACTACATCTAGGTTATTTTTTTAATTTTTTTTTTTTTTTTTTCACTTTTACCCAATAATTACTTCAAAATAAAATGTGAATACAACTGAGGTAACATGAAAATAACCGCTCAGTAAGAGCCCTCCCATCTTCCAAGACACCATTAGCAAGGGTTTCATTTAAAGGGCCAGGCACCAGGCAAATTGACTGGTCATGAGGACGGTTTTGCCCACCTGGTTTGACAATCTGGAGGAAATTTATCCTGTAAAGAAGTTTAGTTTAAAAAGTCCAACCCCCCTCCCCCCCTGTGAAAACCAGTTGTCCTCCTGCTGAAAGCTTTAATGAAACCCCTGCATCAGTAATTCTCTTTACTGTCTGCCATGCAACTCTTGTGATGTTAGTTTGGAGAATTTGGTATTCAATCAACTAATAATCCCCTCATTGATATTTTTCTTTGTTCTCATCACTTGTCTACTAGATATTGTATTGATTTTGTAAGGAAAAATTATGTCTTGGTCACTGTATACTGAGCTGTATGAGGTACGGAGGCACTAGCGAGGGATGACACCTACATTAGTTGAGTTTTTTTTTTTGTCAATAAAACTGAGAAAATAAAACAATAAAGACAGGTCAATTTTGAAGCACACCTGTAGTTTGTTTTTAAATTGCCGTAACACATGTGCATGTAGTTTCAAACACTAAATATTTCCCTCAGATACATGTTACACCTCCTTGCAGATATAAGAGACCATTTCAGATTTTTATTTTTTTATTACTTACTTTTATCCTGATTGTATCTTGGTATCTTCAACAGGTGTCATACCCAAACTTAGCACTCTACAGATATCACACAACCGTTTATCAACTGCTGACGACTTGAGACATTTGTCAGAATGTTCTAATCTGAGGTAAAGTTTATTGAACCTAATATAAGCCACATGCATAGCTAGCTTACAAAAATAGGGTAGAGAGAGTTGATGGGCACTCAGTGCAATCATTTTAAATTAATGTAGATCCAAAACTGTGCTTTGAATCTGTGTAAACCTTTGATTCCCTTCATCCTCTTCTCTGCCGCACAGGCTACAATCCTTGTCACAATTGTTGAGAGAAACATTTCCTCCTTCTCCTCTAGTCATCCCTCCCCTTATGTCATCCTTCCCCTCTTGTCATCCGTCTCCTCTTGTCATCCTTCCCCTCTTGTCATCCTTCCCCTCTTGTCATCCTTCCCCTCTTGTCATCCTTCCCCTCTTGTCATTCTTCCCCTCTTGTCATCCTTCCCCTCTTTTCATCCCTCCCCTCTTGTCATCCTTCCCCTCTTGTCATCCTTCCCCTCTTGTCATCCTTCCCCTCTTGTCATCCCTCTCCTCTTGTCATCCTTCCCCTCTTGTCATCAGTCCCCTCTTGTCATCCTTCCCCTCTTGTCATCCCTCCCCTCTTGTCATCCTTCCCCTCTGGTCATCCTTCCCCTCTTGTCATCCTTCTCCACTTGTCATCCTACCCCTCTTGTCATCCGTCCCCTCTCATCATCCTTCCCCTCTTGTCATCCTTCCCTCTTGTCATCCTTCCCCTTTTGTCATCCCTCTCCTCTTGTCCAAAGTGGTAAGAGGAATATTCAACTACATGAAAAGAACTCAACACTGAGAGTGGAGGTAGGTGTTTCAACTGAATGTGATGAGGAATGTAGTCATACCTTTTATTTTCACCTCCATAATGTTTATAATTACCGGTATGTACATAACGAGTAAGTGGAAGGATGGGATGGCAAAATATTGAGCTTGAGGTCATGATGTGTGAAAAATTGTAGCTATAGTTGTGTGCATCAGTTGACTGACAGCCTAATATTTTCCTGTTCAGCTAGTTGAAAAGCATATTATCATATGACCACTAAGTGTTACAAAGTTTCAAAATTTTGTTTTAACTTATTAAGGTGGCTGAACACAGTTTTCGCGTGCGCTTTTGCTGATGCAATTCAGCACACGCACAAGGATAGCAAAAAACAAACATGCTGTCAACAGAGGGGTCATTTCATTCACTCAACACTAACCCACACTATCTGTGCTATTTTTCTCTATAGTTGATGCAGTGTGTAGAGGGCTTTAATCTTTTATTACAAAGATATGTTGGAAAAGTTAATAGTGCAAAGAACCCAGCAATTCTCAGCTTTTTCGTTGTTACTGAAAGAAAACAGTTAGATGCAGCGCATGCGTAGTAAGTCAAAAGTTGCTTTCTTGGAAATATGCCTATTTCTTGAGAACCACTCATTAGAATTTGACGAAATTTGGCATAAAAGGTTAAAGTACTTAAGGAAATAAGTAACTTGAGTATTAATAAAAATGGACTTTAAACAAAGGAAATACTAGAAAATAGAGTGAACCTTCAACAAGGGGTAATCAAAGATCTCTCTTTTAAATTGTTAGCAAAATGGTGTTAACTTGTGATTATTGTTACTGATGCTCACTGCATAAATTATACAGAAAATCTAATGACTAAATTTTCTACAAAGAAACAAAACCGATTTTAATTGCCTATTTATATCTATTCATGTCACCATGGCAATGACATATACGTCAGCATAACTATCAAAAAAAACAAAGTTTGTATTGTTAACTTGCTTGCTGCCAATTTTGGCGACCGAGAGATCAAGGGTTTTTAGAGAAAATGTTGAAAGAAACAAAGGTATCAAAAACTGTGTTCAGCCACCGTAATGGATGCAGTAGAATAGAAGGTTACACATGGGTTGACAATAGAAAAGATTTTACAAATGTGAAAACTCTTCCTTTATTTTTGCAAGTCAGACTCACAATTCTTTGATACACAGACTTGCATTCTAAATTCTGTTTTCCTTGAAGTTCAAGTCCATGATTAGGACTCTTAAAGCAGATCCACTCAAAATTGAACTAAGAACAATCTTTCTAATAAAAATGTAATCCATGTTTATCTCCCGAAATCAATGTTAGTGCTTATAGTATTTTTGGGCAAGTTTTTGTACTTGAGTTGGTCAATTATGGCGTACAATTTTTTTTTAAATCATATTTTATAATGCCCCTATTCTGTAGAACTTTTATTAAGTGGTCAACCTGTATTATGCCATCACCCCTCCATTCCCTATGGGTGACCACCTAACATATGTTTGATTGTATCCAAGTCCATCCTGTTTAGGGCATGGCCTCCATGTTGATCACTGTCTGAGTTCCTTTTTGTACAAATTTGTTTAACTTTACCTGTCAGAATTAATGAGTGTCTGGGTCAGTGAGTCTCGATTAATCCAGTCAAGTGTATCTGAGTGTCTATATCTGGCTTTTACTGTCCATCAGCTCCATCTATCTTGTGAATGGCTTCCTTTGACTGGAAGGTTCATGTTCACATTCAGGCTTCAGTCATATGAATTGATTGTTAACATGTATCGATCCATTCATTTTCTCTTCTTGTACATTTCATTTTCTTAACCAGCCATTCAAATTAATGGTTAAAATGCTTAGTATAACATGTATTTTATATCATCGTAGTACATGTGACTATAATTGTTTTTCCTTGCTTTTACAGTGTTCTCGATGCTTCCTACAACCGAATTGATGACCCTGATGTCGTGAAAGTCTTCGAATCCATGGAAAACCTCGTAAGTTTATGGTACTAGCATCTCTAGATAGGAACTGTTTGATCCCATTTTCAGTGCATTTAATACAGTTTGCCTTGTTTTTTCTCAGCATGTTCTTAACATGATGGGCAACCCGGTCATTAAGAAGATCAAGAATTACCGGAAAGTATTCATCATCAAAATAGTAAGTGAAGAAAGCAGTGAAGCTACTGTGGTTTATGTGGAGTAAAGTTTTCAATAAAGACGCCTAGCAAGTGTTTCTTAAATGTTGTCAGCAGTGTTTCACTTTAAAACGGACTGACACCATGGTGAACGCCTATCACAGCTTCGGTCATGCTCGAAGGGATCAATTCTATCCGGCTGCCCGCCAATTTCCCGCGCAAAGAAAACAACCACTGTCTGCAAAGTAAGCAAAAGAAAATTGAAACGTTCATAGAAATCTGCAAGAGAAACAAAGTTAAGGAAAAGGGAAAATCGAGACTTTCCGAACAATGTACTTCAATATACATTCGACTGACTCGGTTCAAACCATGAACTATCCATACATGATGTAGCTGCGATCTTCGTTCTACGCTGGAGGGGGCACATTGGCGCAAATTCATTATGATAAAAACGTTAGATTCTCAGTAGAAGCGAGTTTAATTTCTTTGACTCAAATTGATTGGCGTTTACAAAGAGGGACATACGTGTCCATCTTGTGGAAATGAATGACTGTTTAAGCAAGGAACTGTGGCTGGCTTCTCGCTGGTACAAGGACACTTTGGGATTGAGCGGTTAAAAGGGGGGTGAGTGAAAAATGGCAACAACCTTGCAACAAGAGATACGAAACAATATCACCTAGCCTCGTTTTCAACTCGCAATTCCATGCTAAATAACTCACCCCGTTAACCAATCAGAATGCGAGATTCTATTCAATTATGCGATTTTGATTTTAATTTGTAGTATACTCCTAGTCATTCTTGCATCAGAATGTTTAGGGATGTACACTTCTTTCCTATTTAGAAAGGTCTCAGATACCTTGATGACAGACCAGTTTTTCCTAGAGAAAGAGCTTGTGTTGAGGCATGGTAAGAATTTAATTTAATTTTTTGGGAAGACCTTGGTGAAAACGGTTTCGAATGCGATAATACCCCTCACTAAATGACGGGTGTGAATAATAAGCAGGGAGGTAAAAGTTTGCTTGGAGGCTTGTAATATTATAAAGTTTACAGACACTTACAGGGTTCACTCTATGTGCAACTTAGAGGCAGTACACGTAGACATATATGTAATTAGAATGTCTTTCAACAAAGCATTTTAAGATTATTTGTGTTTGACGGGTTTACGTGGCTGCGAGTGAGCATCTGAAAGATGCAAACGAAAACTTTATCCTATTTTTAACATGCAGTATTACCACTACTCGCGGCCAAATGACAAACTGCCCTCTCTAAAACGTTCCTTTTCGCGGGCCAAACAGCAAAGTGCGGGCTGTAAATGNGCATCATTTCCAAAACTGGTGTGATTATCCTATTACAAAAGGAGAGTCGTAAACCAACTTATCGTTCAAACGAACGAAAAGCGCGATTGCGATTGGACAATTCGCGTAACTACTTAGTGTAGCTAAATATAGTGTATTTCAATGAAGTGTCGTGATACCAAAACCAAAATTATTGCAAGGGCCAATCACAAGAAAGGAAAATGCTCCAAGGGGCCAATGAGAACACAGTAAGAATCAAACAAACTGCCTAAAGCGCGGGAAAACGCGGCTGACCAAGTCGTGTTTTAGTTTTGTATCTGATTGGTTGAGAGGATGGCGCGAAATTTCTTGGACCAATCAGAACATAGAATGACACAGAACCAATGTGATTTCGAATTACCTTGGACACTCAGATGAAAACTGTTTTAATCACATTGAAATTTCGGTTTCTGTGGGCAACTGATTGAAAATTTCTCTTTTACGAAGGGAAAAAGGAGGAGTGGAGGCTGAGCGGCAAGAAAGAGAGAGATGGATCACACGAGAACAACAAAAAATCATGGACAGTTTTAATGGTAAGAAGATTCAGCCTTTTTTTTTTAATGGAAGATTTATGATTTTACAAATTTATGAAATATTTTTACATTAAGGTATTTGCCAGAAGGTATTTGTTAATCTCCTTTTTAAACATTGTTTTATGCAGCAATGGCGAAGATAAGGGAACAAAACGATCTAATAAGGGTAAGAAATTAACACGTTCTCGGCAGGTTAGAAATAAAATTTAATACATGTATCTTCATGTGATATTGAAATAAAACTCAGATTCACGCTTTACATCATCTTAACATGTGCGTTTTTTGAGTCACCGAAAAGTTTGCTCGCAAACGACTAACCTAAGGGCAACGTTTCTTTTATTCGTTTTCCGTGTAATATAAAGTAACAGAAGATTCTATCAGTCAGTCAGCTTGACATGATTGGAATGTTATTAAAAGTAGTTCATGACCAGGTTCGAAAAAAAGGCAACAACAGGGAAATCTATCGAAGTACCTAAATATTGCGTTTTTTTAACTTTGTCTTTTAATACGTCGACTTGTTCAAGCTGGGTGTCAAAATTTCACACAATGTGAATGCACATGTTAAGATCCACATTTGTGTCTTTTTGAGCAGAAGCAGCAGATTACATCAGACGGCAAAAACAATGAAAATTCTAAAGAAAACAGCGACGGGGGAGGCCATGAAAGTGACAGTGAAATCAGCCAAGACGCTAAGCGACAACAAACGCAGGCTGACGAAAAACAGAAGCCTGGAATTGTGTCAATTGATGTTAACACGAAAACTGCCGACCCTGGGAATGAAGGCGACAATGTCTGTTCAGCTTCAGTACCTAAGACGCCTCCTGTTCAGGAGATAGAGACTGTCACAATCGGATCTTCCGCTGAAAACCAAGTGCTTGTTGATCATGGAATCTTTGGCGGATCTCGACAGCATCAAGTCAAAAGGGCTGGTCCTATGATAACAGAAATAGTTCCGCGTGAAGGTGATTGTTATATTGTTAATAAGTTTTCGGTCTTACATTTGGCATCGTATGACGGCTGTTCCTCAAGTATACTGATAAGAGCGGTAAGCGCTAATGTGGTCATGATTGCAAAATTTTAATATAAACATGTTTGTTGTTTTAAAATATGATACGAATGAGGAATCCTTTTCATTTAGATCATTTAT